ATTCAGCGGAAACCAGTTGGCACATTGCCGGAAGTGACGTCACATCTGAAATATCGAGTAATAATTTATACGCAGACGTTAACGTCTGGTAAGCGTTGGTATTTCACATTCATACACTGTTTAATATTTTTTAAATAATTAATTGGTTTTTTTAGTCATAATTAATCACATAAAATTGATGTTTTCATTCAATTAGTTATACTTTTTTCTACCACGACAGTTTTATTGAGAATATCTTTATTCCATTTATTCAAGTAAATCCGATTATTTGATTTATTGTTTTACCTTTTATTTTTAATGTTTACTGTTATCATTAATTAAATCCTTGCAATTGTCCTGCAATTCATTCATTGGAGTAAAAGTTATACTATTACAGAATGATTTTTTGATGAAGTATCAGTTGTGTTTTATCAGTATCAACAAAATGTAATTAGTGTAGTAAAATGTAATCAACGTAATAAATAGTGGGTTTTAAGGCCCAATGAAGTATTATATTCTCAATGAAGCTACATAAGCTCTTGATTTATTCCAATAATCATAATGATAATACTATTGATCGTTATTTTTATTTTCATCTCTCTATTCAGCAAGTACAGCAATGCGAAACAAATTTGAATAAGTTATTAAGTACTTGAAGCTTGGATAATTTAATAGCATAAATCAAGAAGTTCATTTCGGTAAACCTGTAATTTTTTTTTCTTCGTGTACGATGTAATGTTTGAATCATGTTGACATCGTTCTTTTAAGTACGCTCGCGTGTATACTTTTTCATGGTTGTCGATAACTCACTCTCGAGGTGTTCTAGTGTTATTCTGATGTAGTGCACTGTTCATTTTTGTCGGCTGCAAAAATCTACCCAAGTGCATTGTGCTCTAAATCTGTATGTGTATGTGTTCAAAAGGTCTATTACATATACGTCTATAATATTTATCATGCATACATAATACACATCATTAATCTTATCAACATTTCTACCAGTATATATTTTCATTCATTTTATAATTAATTCATTAATTATGTAAGAATTCTTATTTTATATTTATCATGTAACACACTTTGTGGAATTTATTTTTGTCACATAAAATTTTTATTTTCAAAATCGTCTTTCGAGAATATGAAAAACATTGTTCTTCAATTCTAATTAGATAAAGATAAGAAAAAAATATTTACGGAATGAATAAAAAAGGATTTCTACTTGATTTTTTATGATAAAATTTATTCCACTAACATAATTAAAATTTAAATTAAAATAAATATGATAAATTGAATACCTACAGGTTTTTATGTACCTTGTTATTCTTAATGATTCTTTGCACTTATGAATAATGCGAATTCCCTAAAGGATTTCGAAATTGGAAATAACTCAAAGATTTATCGACATCTATTTACTCGTTCTATGCTGCTTGACTGAACTCAGTAAAGATCGAATACGAATTGCAAATGGTCGAATTCACCATTCCTCTTTTATTTCTACGATATGGTATATTGCTCATATGGATTTGAGATCCAACGATTTATCAAAAATTTATAAGAGAATAATTATTTTAATTTAACTTCTCAGATTTCATGAGATATTGTGTATATAATGGCAGTTAATAAAAAAAACTAACTCCTGCGTTTTTTCACTTTCAAGTTCTCACGGTAAAATTATTCATTTCAGATTTTAAGTATATGAAACTGAACAGATATTAAATGTATACTTCCACAGCATGAGACAACCTCCGGAGGTAAACTTAAAGCCACGGGAGATGAAATAGTCGTTGCCGCTTAGTGTCTGTCGATTAATCTCTTGTGTCTTTTGGTTCTCGTTCAGTCGCGTGTCTACTTTTGGTCTTTATTCCAAAGCTATTTAAGAGATTTTTTATCCTGCCTTTTGAAATTATTCATTCGTTGTTGAATAATTAAAACGACGTTGAAGGATTCTTCGAAACTCACTGAGAGATAATAGATCATTGATGCTATCTAAACTTTCATCAGTTTTTCAATCTTTACGTCCTCACAGTCATTTTAAAATTAAACTTTTATTAATTGGAGACAAATTGTGAATAGTTGATGGAATAGTTATAAAAATACTAGGAAATTTATTTGATTGAGTGAAAATCTTGATGCGTTTAAAATCACATTTTTTATAATTAATCATTTAGAAACTTGACGTTTAATTTGAATCGTTAGAAAAATTTATTTGACGCATTATACATTCATTATAACAAATTAAAAATTCAGATATTTATCATTAAAGTGAGCTAATGATCAAATAATCATCAATAAAATTCATTCTCGATACCTAATCAATATAACAAAGATCAAAGGTATCACCGTTACTGTCCACTGTGTTCTGAGAAGTTTAAAAAAATCATTTAATTTAATGTGAGATTATTATTTTTCAATGTTTAGCGAAATTATAAATAAAAGATTAGATAGTAGAACGACGTGGTATGTTATTATTGATGTTGTTTGAATTTATCGCCTGAAGGTTTATGCGTACCTACATGTGTACCTATTATATACAAGTTCTTCGTCTATTCCATTTATAGTGGTGCACAATGCATGAACGCACCGAATGCTATACGCATTTATGCAGTATTGCTGTCATGGTTGACGTAATGTACCGGTAGTTACGTCAATACTCCGTACTCATATGTCTATATATATATTTATTGAACGAATACGAATTTATTGTAAAAAAAAAAAAGGATCTAAAATAAACAGGAAGAAAAGTGTAAAATATTAATTCTAATTTGGTTGGAAATAAACTTGTCAACAAATTTAAACTTTTAATTTGTTTTTAAAAAAATTATTCACAGTTGAAGGAGGAAATAAAGTTTACGAGAATCTCTAGTGACTGTTTATAGTCTTTTATAAATTTTTGAAAGCAGACAGTCAATAACTTTTATTTATTTTTAAATAAATTGACAGATAACTTTTTATTTCATTTTTTTGAAGAATAATGTTTTTATTTTACCGATCGATTTTTATGAACAAATTGATATTATATTTTAGATTTTCATCTTCACTTAAGATTCTATTTTTAAATTTTAAATTATACCTTAATTTGTATCACTAAAATGCTTGGAGTAGATACAGATGATATATCTACTCTTTCCTGTTCTTTGAAACGTAGACATATACTTTTTGCTGTCATCTACATAATCAGACAGCGCATGTTTATTGTAATTAACACGATATTTTTGTTTGCTATTTTTGGAGCTGATTGAATTATGTATAGACTGGTACACAATAAGCAAATAAAACATTTTCATTTACCTATCGACTTACAAAGAATATTTTTAAACATTCTTATTATCTATAGCTTCTATTGATATGATATCTCTTATTGAACATAAATACAAAGCTTATTGTGAGAACAACAGCCTACGAAGTCGAGATTTCGTTATATTATTGTTAGACAACACAAATTTCTTTGGGAAGAATAATTTTATCAGAGATAATTTAGAATTCCATCAAGAAATGATCCATCTTGTCAAGTTGAGATTTTTTCTCTGATGGTTAAATATATTTGTCATGAGTTCCCAGAATTCTCGATGACGTTCAAATTTCTTTTTGACAATCGCCAGTGAATGATCGTTAATTTGAATATTTAAATAATAATAAGGTCTGCGTAACTTTTGTAACGGCGGCGTCTTTATACAATTCTCATTCATTTCAAGTTTACAACTCATTTAAGCTGGAACGATGAACTTCATATCGTTGAGTTTCTTTAGACTTGAGTCCAGCAATTTTATTACTACGCCACAGGGTGCGCAAATAAACTCCTGGGAATAAATGAACCAAGTCAAAGTCACTAGGGTGGTCCGTTTAATGTTGAAACATATGTGGAGAAGAAAGTTATGAAACAAAAGAATAACTTTCCTTTTATTTTCTCAAGATAGTTTCGAATTGTTACATTTTTCTTTTGCAGTGACTAAAAGCACTCTATACTATAGATAATTCGAGATAATGAATTTCCGTATCAACAAGAAAAATAAGAAATTCTCTGCGCGAAAATAATTTCATTTTTATAGCTTGGAGGTTTTAAATAACTGTTCACTGATCTGGTGAACTTTGATGAATTTTTTCATTCATCTTCTTCATCATTTCATGCCAGGATAAATATTTATTACATAGTAAATCAAAAAGACAGTTAGTGCGGTGAGACGTATTTGCAAGATTCTTAAGACCTTGAAAATTTATGTCATATCCATCTTTCAGCGTACATTTCAGCTCAAGATGATAGTAAAAAACAGAAACAGAATGCAAAAGGGCGGAGGACTGAATAAATTGACAGCAGATCTGGGTCGAGTATGGAAACCAAATTCTTTTCAGTAGTGTGCCGACATAGATAACTGACTACCACTTGATTTCTTTTTCAAGCATCCGGTTTTGATGATATTCTATAAATATCAGTTGAACATCTTGCTTTAGCAGTTTTTATAATCCTAGCAAATTAAAAAGCCCATGTGTTTAATGAAGCTTCACTTATATTTTAAGTTATTATATTATTCGATTCTATCACGCTGAATGAAATTAATTATAAACGTTTGGCGACTCGACAAAACCCTAATCGGAAGTTAATTTTTTCGATAATTGGATAGTATTAAATATGTCGAATAAATTATTTTATCGACATTTTGAGAGTTAAATGTTAAAAGAGCCGAATAAACTTGTGATGTTTCATTTAAGAAGATAATAATTAAGTTATTTTAATCATCTATCAACACAAACTTGTTTTTTTTAATTAGTTGAATTAATAAGAAATTAGAAAAATGGAATTTTGGGATAAAAATTAAAAGATTATTATTCTTGTATTTCTTTGATTCAAGTTTGTGTTTTCTCAGTTAGAAAGTTTTATAATGCAAAATGTAGAATATCAAAAATTAACATATTTTCGCAATTTCAATTTTTTTCAATTCTCATAAAAGTTTGTTGAACAAGAATTTTTTCGCAAAAAATATTAAAAATTTAACAATTAAAATTTTTCACTGTAATGATTTGATGAAAAGTGCACTAAAGCTTACTGTTTCGTAGAAAAAGATGACAAGAAATGAATGAGCACAGCTGTCCAATACGAATAAAGGTGAGTAGAATTACAACGCTTTTGTGAAAAAATGCTTTTTCATTAATTCAAGAAGTTTTTTACATTCTATTCATTTTTTTAACGCTCACATTTTAGTATATTTATTTTTCGATCTTTATCTGTATTGTACTTTCTTAATCCGTATGGTATTTTCTGTTTAAAATTTTTTGAAAATCTCAAAAAATTTTGCAAAGTGAATGTATTTGGAATTTAATAATAACAAATAAATTTATAAAAAAAGGTTTAATTTTGAAATTTATACGAAAATGTTAATGAAAACATCTGTTATTAAAACTTTATTTTATTCTTTCATAATTTATATTCTTTTTAAAAATATCTTTCAAAATAAAGTCGATTAAGCTTCATAATGAATGTATATTACTTTTTAGTCTCAAATTTAAACCGTTTTAAATCTAAATTAAAAAGCATATATGAATGATAGAAGTAGATAGAGATTTAAAATATGAAATATATAATAGTATGATATTTTATATTTTTTTTTATAATTATTATTCTTCACAATATTTTTAAAATAAAATGAATTAAGATACTGTGAAATTTCTTTTGCAAATGTGTCAGATTCGTATTCATGAACGTACAAATAAACGTTTTCACCATTTTACTCCTGGATTTCTCGTTGTAAACGCACTCGGTATTTTCAGGAGAAGTCAAGCAGTTAAGCAGAAAATAGGGGATTTCATGCCGTAGAAACAGGAGTAAACAAAAAAAACACATGCAAAAGATAAATATTTCCTTGACATTTATTTTCTAAAATAATTATACTTTTAATTTTTATATTTTTTTATTTCTGCATATTTTGCTTCAATTTGTTTAATTACTATCTATTAACATATATATTTTATTGAAAATCATATGAATAATAGTCTCAGTGTATAATTCCAGTGTTAAATAAATTTACTCTTAAGAACATTGAAATCTTAATATAATATATTTCTAATCAATACATTAGTTTCAAATTTCCATAGTTGCAAAGTTTTATGGAGAATAACTTTCATATTATAACACTTGTGACCTAATTAAATCTTCTTGAAATTAGTTAACAAAATTAATAAAGTTTTTTCTAGTCATAATTAATAGGAAGGTCCAATTAGCTCTTCACTGTTGTATTGATTACATCAAAATCATTTCTAAAATAAAATGCAAGCATATATTACAACTTCAAAAGAACTCATTACTCTAAACGAATATTTTAGTTTACGTAAAAGCAGAAACTTTTCTCTTATCGTTTATTGACAAGTTGTAAATCTTGAGAGAAAGCTTCCACTGTATGACGATAGACATTTGTTATTTCATGTGGGTTTCCGTTCTTCCAGCCAAAGATCATATAAGATGGAATCGAAGGATGGGTAAGAAAAGAAACATGCGAAACAAAGATAGAGATGAAAGCCATCGACCTCACTCTTCAAAGTTCGCAAAAGTCCAAGTTCGACTTGCCAAGTCATTTTGTTGGTAGAACTAACTTGTTTTAAAAGACGATTCATGGGAGAAAGGAAACAATAGGAAGTCAGGTGAGATGAAAATGGGGATAAACTGTAGGGCCATCTTTAGCCAAACCAATTTCTCGACAAAAGGGTTAGTTTCAAAGTGGCGGTTTCAAGTGCACACCCGCTTGATATGAGTAGCTTCCAAAAGTGATTTAGACCCTCTGTTCACGTTCTTATAGTGTATGTTAACTAGCGTCAACTCAACCAGCTGTATTATTAAAATGAGTCCAAGAAGGAATATTCACATGAGAAAATCAGCATCGCTATAGGGGTAGATTCATCTAAAGAAAAAACTCTAGATCAAAAGAAAATCATTTCTATACTTTTTTATGTGAAATAAACTGCTCAAGTTTGAACAGTAATTTTTATTGCAGCATAATAAATAAAACTGATTATCATGGCACTAAAATTATACCGGATAAAAAATTGTATGTTACAAAAATCAATTTTTTTCTATCAGTGACTGGATTAACTTACAGATTACTATTATGAGCTTCGTTCCATCCAATTTCCATTAATTTCTTGGAAAAAATTGAAGAAAAATCCCGATTGTACAGACATCAAATTTAATTGACACAAATTCATTTACTTGGTTTTTTTTTTCTATAAAAATCTCAGTCCTTAATACAATAGTGTTAATTTCCATTCTATTATCTCTTTAATTAATTGAAGAAATCCATGGCTTTAGTTAATTATCTCGAATCTTCCAAAGAGTAAAAAAAGCTATTGGTACTGGTGATCAGAAAAAACCAATACTTAATAGTGCAATGCAAAGGAAGGTAAGCATTAACGAAAAAGAAATCAAAATAGAATTTGATGTTTGGATGTGCATGGAATTGAAATGATATGGTGATAAAGAAAGGCGAATACTCTGTTCGATAAAATGGAGATACTATGGATGGAAAGCATCGAAATAACTAACAATTTTAAATGATTATTGAATTGAAATTATAAGTTTATTTCCAGCCTTCTTAATTGCGGAAAATTGTTTGGAACTTGTAAATTTATGGGTCGATCAATAATAGCAATAATTGTACGATCAAACGAGCTCGCCGAAGGCGAGCGAAGTTCGATCGAAATTATATAAAGTCTCGTTCGAAAGGATTACAAACGTAGTATCGCCTTCGTACTACAACACAACCACACATTCAGAGATAGAAAAAGAGAGCCCTCTATGACTCTCTACCAGCTTCCGGGTAACTCTCATAATTTTTACAGATATGAAAAATAAATAAACTTGGGGTGGGACTTATATTATATTATATAATTAAAACTTAAGGGGTTGGGATGTAATCCTTTCGAACGAGACTTTATATAATTTCGATCGAACTTCGCTCGCCTTCGGCGAGCTCGTTTGATCGTACAATTATAGTCGTCTCGTTCTCAGGATTACAAACGTAGATGTTTAGAGTCCTAATTTTTTGGGTAAAAAATTTTTTATTTATTTATTTTTCCAATTACATATTTTCTTACAGCATTACTTTACTTAGATTATAACTGAAGGCAGAGTATTTCAACTTAATAACTTATTATATTAGCTTGAAGACAAACTGTTTCAGCGAATATGCTTTTCGATACTTTAATTGGTCTATTGTAAAATCTTGCGAAAACCTCTGACGATTTCGTCCAACCAGCCGTTGACTTAATTGTGTTTATGTCAATTCCTTTTTTATATGCAGTTGATGTGGATGCATGTCGCGTTGAATATGCGGTAAATTCTTCTGGAACACCACTTTCTGTTAACACTGACTTAACCCAACGACTGATTGTTTGAGTAGACGCTTCTTTGTAAGGTTTCTTAAAAGTGATTAGCAGTTTGTCAACATTATTTCTTAATGAATTAGTAGCCTCAATATATTTTTCTACTGTGCTTGCAATACATAGTTGAGGTTTGTCTTTAAAATAGGGTAAAAACAGCAATGGTTGATTTACACCTTTTTTAGATGTTTTTGTAAAATCTTCAATTTCTATTTCTAATCCTCCTTCTACTTTTTTGATTTTACTTACTTTAATTAGTGCCAACGTTTGTATTCTATGAGCAGTGCCTAATGCTAACAAGGTTGCTACTTTTAACGTTAACCTTGCCAACTTTAAACTTTCCAAGGGAAACCAAGTTTCTAACACATCTAAGACTATCTTTGGATCCCAGGTTTTATCATACTTCGGCCTTAGAGGACGATTTCGATAGACACCTTTGAAAAATCTATTTAATAATAGACTAGATGATAGGCTTTTTTCTGATAATAGGGATATTGCTGCTCTCATTGAATTTAGGGAGCCATAAGCTGCTCCTGCTTGAAACTTGTGAGATAAAAATTCTAATAAATTATTTTCTGTGATATTATATGGATCTTGCTTCTTTTCTTCGCAAAATCCAAACCATTCTTTTATTGGACCAGCATATTGTTTTATTGTTCCTTCTGCAAGCGATAGTATTACAATCTCTACGGCTGATGACGGAAGTCCTCTTTTTTCGAACGCTGTCCGGATAGCTTGCCGACAATCAAAAACATTTTTTGATGCAAGGGATGATTTAATGATCTGCAAGGTGATAACAAAAGTTTTTTAGATGGTTTGAAAACGATAGGTTTTTCTACTAAAAGAGTCTCGAAAACTGGAAACCAAGCCTGAGTGGTCCAATAAGGAACTACTAATATACCCCGTGCTCTGTCAGATACAATTTTCTGAATGACCCTAGGAATCATAGCAAATGGAGGGAACGCATAGAAAAACCAGTTATGCCAGTTGATTGTAAACGCATCTACGATGAAACTTTCTGGGTCTTGAAACCAGGAACAGAAAACCTCGCATTTTTTATTAATTCTGTTCGCGAAAAGATCTATTTCCGGTGTACCATATTTTCTAACTATTTTACGAAAATATTCGTTTCCAATCTCCCATTCAGTGTCGACATTGTTTTTTCTTGATTCTCGATCGGCATCTTCATTTTCTTGAGAGGGGATATACGATGCAAAGATCCAATTGTTTTTCTGTTCACACCACTGCCAAATTTCTCTAGCAAGAATATTTAAATTCTGATGTTGAATACCACCCATTCGATTTATGTAAGAGATTGCAGTCGTATTATCAACTCTCAAGAGAATGTTACAATTGTAAAGATCCGAAGCGAATGATTTTAAAGCAAAGAATATTGCAAGCAACTCTAAATAATTTATATGGTGTTTTTTCTCTTCTACAGACCATGACCCGTGAGTACCAGTACCTTCACAATAAGCTCCCCAACCTGATAGAGAGGCGTCAGTAAAAATAACCCTTTTATAACTAGGTAATTTAAAGGAGTTTCTAGAGTTCATAATATTTATTTTCCACCATTCAAAATCCTCTCTCAAATGCTCTGGCAACCTCATGACGCAGTCATATTTACCATCATTCTTCAACAGCGACAGAAACTTCTCTCTCTCTAACTTCTTTGTATAGAGCCAACCATATTTTATTGCTGGACAAGCTGCCACTAAACTTCCAATAAGTTGAGCTAATAATCTGATTTTTACTTTTTCCTTATACATTATTTTTTGAATCTTTTCTAATAAATTATGTTTCTTTGACTCTGGCAATTCTAACGTCATACTACCTGAGTTTATCAAAAACCCTAAAAACTTACACTCTCTATCAGGTATTAATTGACTTTTTCCCTTATTTACGATGAATCCTAAAGACTCAAGAAGCTGCACTGTTGACTCTACATTCTTTGTACATTCTTCATAAGTGTTTCCTACACACAAAATATCATCTAGATATGCAATTAATAGTGAACCCCTCTTTCGTGCAACATTAAGTGCAGATCTTAAAACCTTAGTAAAAATGAATGGGGCTGTGGATAAACCAAATGGTAAACAAACAAATTCGTACAGTTTATTTTCGAACCTAAATCTAAGATATTTTCTACTCTCCTGATGCATTGGTATAAGAAAGTATGCATCCTTTAAATCAATTACAGCCAAGTAGTCTCCCTGTGATATAAGTTTTGAAGCTATTTTTATATCTTCTAGCTTAAAATGACTAGTGTCTATGAATTCATTGAGATTTTTTAAGTTTATTATAAATCTCTTTGTTCCATCTGGTTTATCCACTAGAAAATAGGAAGATATAAACTGTCCTTGAATGTCAGAACAAAGTCTGACAGCTCCTACTTCCAATAACTTATTTACTGCTATTTTATAATTTGTCAAGTTATCCAACTTAATAAGGTTAGGACTCGCAGGTTCCTTAGACTGATAAGGAGTTTCTCTAAACTCGATCTTATAACCCTCTATATAACCTATGATAGTTTCATTGGCAGTGACCAGTTTCCACGACTCCAGAAAGGATCCTAACCTCCCAGCATGGTGGGTTACCTCTATTTGTGACGACGATCCGATGACCGGTGAGTTGTTTTGGTTCTGCTGTGAGAGCTCGCATATCTCGAGTCTCTCTTGGACGTCATTCTCTGAGTTTGGGGATTGTACATCTTCTGTCCCATCCTCGAATATCCCAGATTCTTCGAAGATGGGTTCTTCCAGTTTAAATGATTCTGTGATTTCGAGGGAAATTTTTTCATTATTTGCTTAGGCTTAAGTTCGGAAGCCGCCTTTTCAATTGTTTTCGTTGTTTGGATTTTTTCCGCTAATTTTTCACCAAACAGATATTTGTCGAGTTGACATCTTTCGAGAGCATCTTTCCTGGATTTTTCTAATCCTGGCAGAATAAATGCTCTTCTGTTAATAGCCATTTGATGATGAGTTTCAGCCATTAGCATCCCTGCGTCACTTACATATTCTAACAACAGATTCCTGTGCTCATCTTTAATGACCTTTTCCTTCAATATTAAGGAAATCCCCAGGCCTAGGGCTATCATAGCTGAACCTAATGATTTCTGTGTTTCGACAGCATGTTCATCTCGCTTCTTTGCCGCTGGTTGCATTATTACGGCGACTTCTTCATTCAGAATCTGGGGTTCTAACAGAACGTTTTCAGCTCGTGGATAAGCTGCAATGAGATTCTCCTTGATCTCTTTTTCAAGACCCTCTGGAATCCATGACGACCATCTCGCTGCAACTTCTGGGTGTATTGAAGCTATATTTGTATTTTTAAGTCTTGGGTCCTTTCCTAAAATATGTTGAGTCTCCTCATCTACCTCGGTTGATGAATCGACCTTCTCTGTTTCCGCCATATTTCTTTCCTCAGTGTCCATTAGCGTACCCTGTCGCGTGAGATTTGAATTATCTTGCGGTTCAGGGTGGGTCGGTAAGCTATCGGCTGGATTATTGATTAGCTGATCTCCAGTACCATTTCCCTCGCTTGCACTCTCTGCAACAAGCCATGTAGACCCCAAATTACACCTTGCCACTCGTGCAAGTATTACTCGAAATGAACAATCTGTCCCACCACTCGTGTGGGCACATTGTTTTGAATTTTCTATTGAAATTCTTGAGCGATCTGTCCCACCACTCGTGTGGGCACATCGTCATTAAGCAACCACTCTTCTTTTTACACTCACCTGAATTCGAAGATTGTTCGTTAGCAGAGTGGTTTTGCTCGCTTACTATTGTCCCTGTAATTTTATGTAAAAGCGATTCTAATCCTTTTAACTTCTTCCAAATCTTTTCCCGTTCTTCTCTTTCTTCCTCTCGCTCACGTTTTCTTTTACTTTTTCCCATTTTTTCCTCTTCTTTGATTAAAATTTCTTACTTGAATCTCTGAACGTGTGACCGTGCCGCGCACAAAAAACGTTATGAGAGTTACCCGGAAGCTGGTAGAGAGTCATAGAGGGCTCTCTTTTTCTATCTCTGAATGTGTGGTTGTGTTGTAGTACGAAGGCGATACTACGTTTGTAATCCTGAGAACGAGACGACTATAATTACTCTCAACGAACTTTTACATCTATACGATAAATGAGTTGAAAATAAAGTTGAGTAACATTTAATAAATTAAATATTTCCAAACTTTTAAAAGGAAATTTCTTTTTTGTTTAAACAAAATCTTTGATATAAGTAGATACAACTTTGTAAGCTTGATTGAGTCACGTGAAAAGTTCTCTTTACTACTTATTTTAACTGCATGTGATGAAGAAAAAAATCTAAAAAATTGAGTAGATAAAATCTTAAATGGTGAAAAATAAAAATTCATTGTGTACATAATGCAAAATGAAATACAAGTTACGACTACATTATTTTCACTCCCTTTTATTTAACACCTTTTAAACTCTTCAAGTCTTGTCAAGCTTTAGCACCTCATCTTGAAAAATTCTTTAAAACATTTTTTATTTGCACATTATTTACAGTAGTCAGATGTGCGAAACTAACATTCAACTACTACGTAAGACATAATTGACATAAAAAGTCACACTATTCATCATTATCTCTTATTTTTTTTTTTTTATACAATACACTTTTTTGATTTTCTTTTTAACCACAGACTAATAAGAATCCGTCGTTTACACTCTCCAGAATCAATCCTTTTTTTGTCGCTTAACCAGTGACATTGAATAATGTTGCTGTAACAAAAAAAAAAATATCATGCTGTATATACAAGTTGCAACGAGTCATTCAGAATACAAGAAAATTGACGATGAGTGCAGATGATACTCAAAGCCAACGTTCTGAACATGATAAAAAAATATGAAATGTTACTTTTTTCATACGTGATTATAAATTGTCTTGCTCACTAACATTTATAACGACGTAATTTAGGATATTTATATACTTAAAAATTCCTAGGTGAGAAAATATTCCATTATGGCTACTGTAAATGAGAAAGACCATAAACAGTTTTGACCATTAATTTTTTTATTTCATGATTTAATATCAATATTACTGACTACGTGGCTGAACTCTCAATGTGATAATACAAGTGAAAATATATCACCTAGAAGAATGATTTGCAGGAAGGAAGGCGTGTATTGGTTCGAACTTAAATTACTAATTAACGGTGAATAAATCGTAGGGTATGTAATAATGGAGTTCATCTCTCACAGCAGGTGAAAATGGCCCTTTCTGTACCTTGATCTTTATCTCTCATAAAAAAGCCAGCGATAAAGTTTGGAAGAAGAAATATATTTGTTCAAAATTTATTGTTTTTCAAAATCGATAGACCACTATTCCAAGTAAGTTCTGAATTTTCATCGTTAATTTTTATTTTCATTGACCTCATCTATGGGTCATCAACTTTTAGAGGTAATTTTAGGTTACATGAAAAAGTTTTTTCAAATCTTTATAATAATACTTTTCTTCTACGTATTAATCATGCAAAAAATAAAGCAAGTTCCCGTTTTACCCCATTTTAGGGGTGAAATAATTAATTTTTCATATGTTTGACCTGATTCCGCATTTCTACGCATCAAGAGGAAGAGAATGAGTGGTCAAACTTGAAAATCGGACAACTTTGATTTTTCGACCCCAAAAAATGGCAAGTGGTACCCCTTTCCATTTTTTTTGGCCAAAAAATAAAAGTACTCCGATTTTGATGATTGAGGGCTCATTTTCTTCGTCTTGATGCGTAGAAATGCGGAATCGGGGCACCGGTCAAGAAAATTCACTTTAACACCCTTAACAACGGGTTACACTAAATACAAATTACGAATCATCATCCCCCTGACTTTAAACCCTTCTAACTCATGAACGGATGGTCCAATAACTAATTTAAAGGACGTTGTGGGAAGCTTAAAATCTAAGCTAAATATACGTATTCGTAAAAAACGTTTAAAAAATTTCCTTCACCCTTAAAATCGCTAAAATATAAAAAAAAATCACATTTTTTTGGGGGTTTGCCAAGTATTTTGGCAATTTTAAGGGTGAAGGAAATTTTTTAAACGTTTTTTACGAATACGCATATTTAGCTTAGATTTTAAGCTTCCCACAACGTCCTTTAAATTAGTTATTGGACCATCCGTTCATGAGTTAGAAGGGTTTAAAGTCAGGGGGATGATGATTCGTAATTTGTATTTAGTGTAACCCGTTGTTAAGGGTGTTAAAGTGAATTTTCTTGACCGGTGCCCCGATTCCGCATTTCTACGCATCAAGACGAAGAAAATGAGCCCTCAATCATCAAAATCGGAGTACTTTTATTTTTTGGCCAAAAAAAATGGAAAGGGGTACCACTTGCCATTTTTTGGGGTCGAAAAATCAAAGTTGTCCAATTTTCAAGTTTGACCACTCATTCTCTTCGTCTTGATGCGTAGAAATGCGGAATCAGGTCAACCATATAAAACATCAATTATTTCACTCCTAAAATGGGGTTAAACGGGAACTTGCTTTAATTTTCGCAAAAATTTTTCTCCAGTTATGATTTCAACTAGTGCGATAAAAACATCTCATCCTCCCGAATATATTGATATGCTCTTTTTCTATATAGGCCTCATAGACCCTGAAATATTCGCGGAAAATCAAACGTTCCCCATAGTCCCATGAGTGGAACATTGGAGAACGTTTGGGGAACGCATTTTTTTATACGGGTAGTAATGATAAATTTTTCTCAAGTCTTCAATAAATAAAAAAATTAAATGAAGGCATTGTATAAATCATCAATTGAGTTTTAATCATTTTTAAACATAACTCAATTAATTAAAGTTGGAGTGGTACATGAATACATGGTAGAAATAAAGTGAATCAAGTATCTTATTGAAGGTAAATGTCTACGTGTGTGTGGGAGTGAGAAACAAGCGATAGTTAAAGTACAGTAGATTGAATTATTGAAGTGTATGAAAAATACGACAGATAATTGAATTTATTTTATTATCCTGAACCTAAGGAAATGATGTTACTCTATTATTCATTCATTCTTTTTTTTTCTATACATTGAGATTTTTTTTCAGAGTAAATTCTTTTCTTGTCTTATCTTCATTATTTTTGATAAAGAAAAACCATCAAAGCCTTCAATGAATTCAATCAATCTTCTCTACTTCAGCTGTTGAGAATTTCCTATTAGAAATTCTTTACAACCAGTTCTTCTCACGACAACTTTGTCTATTCATTTTCAATCCACAAATTGCAATTTTTATCAGCTATTTAATACTTTAGAATTCAGCTCAAAACTTTGAATTTTATAACAATATTTTTTCTCTTCCTTTATAAAGTTCCATGTCAATATTACCGAAAATAATCGATTCCTCAATAAACTGACGTTTTATAAACTAGAGGTATAAGAAAAACATTAAAAAAAAAAAGCCAATTATTTGTGGATTGTAATCAATAAAATTTTAATGTTGCTTGTCACGTTAGATAATTAAGTGATTATTCAATAGTGATATCAATTTATATAGCAACTTAGTAACTTAGTTCTTGGTACAACACGCTATTTATCCAAGTATCTCTGTCACGTTCCATGTTTAATGAAGACTTAGAGAAAGTTGATATTCATAATAAAATGAAATATATTCATTCGACGACGTTCATTTAAACTTCTTATTGTGAGATAAAAATGAAATTAATTACAAACGTAATAATAATTGTAGCAGTATATTTCAGTAGTGTAAAACAATGCTGGTAGATGAAAAATAATGGGTACATTGAGTATTATTTGTTGGAAAACCAGCATACATCACCAGAGTTATCTTTTGAAAATCGAATTAAAAAAGTTCAGTGTCAGATATTGAATATCTAGAGAGATATGTTTTTGGTGTAAATTACACGTATTTCGTCGGCTAAAATCGATACTTTTGACTGGCACCTGTGTATCAATATACACTGTTGTTATGCAAGCTGATTCGCTGTTGGGACTTTGAACCAACTGACACTCCGATATCGGTATTGTTACGTATGTACATATAACTTATATATAAACCAATTTCTATTATGTAATATTTTACACATTTTTATCAAATTGATTTCACTCCAGCATTACCTGTACATTCTATTTTTGGGGGAAATTTGCAATCAAGAAAACTTATCCAAGTACGAATTAACGAAGAAGAATACCCTTCAAACCAATGAAAGGGTAAATAGATGAAATGTTATTACAGCTAGTGTCAGACTCAGCTGTTGCAGATAATGTGAAGTCATTGAACAATAGTTTGAAATGTATTTGTTTATGAACCAAAGAAACAGAGTAGTCTATGCTTCAGCTCTTGTTGTGAAATCGACTACAAGTTGATAAAAGTGATTGGCTGTAAACTGAGCGGTTCATTCAACCCCGTCAACGTCAATTCAATTATTTAAGGAACAGTTGATGGTCTTTGATATACTTCTGAGATTGTATTAAACTCATTCCTTGATCGAGTAGGGAAGTGAGGCCATCAGTCTTAGGTACACAATCGTCTGTCTAAAAGATTGAATTCTGTTGATTGTAACGTTTGTCATGTCAGTGTACACCTGTTAGTAAAAAACTTATTGTTGATTTGTTGAGATATATAAGTTCATTTGTCAAATGTCTACTTATTATTATGAGATATTTGTTCCTTTGTCAATCAAGTCGTTTTTTTTTACCTAAATAATTATTGACAGAAGTAATGAGAGAGAAACTGCGGTGTACTGAAAAAAAAAAAGGTCAAGTGTGAGATGAAAAAAAATGTGCAAGGAGTTTCTTTGTTTGTAAGATACATAAATATAAATGTGAATAGTTGTCTGTCATAGTCAGTAATACTCTCATGCTAATCCGGCGAAGAAAAGGGGAAGAGTCAACAATGTCGTTCTTCCTTTTCTTGACAGTCGCGCA